CCCTTCCCTCGGTACATAATTGAAATAGTTGCTCTATATGTAAATCTGCCCATTGATCACCTTAGGAGACTTCCTCTAGGGGAAGAGGAGTAGTTAGACTTGTGCCAAACCACATTTATTGGTAACTGCAGTTGTAGTGCCCAAAACAGGTTACTTATCAGTAAGAGAGAATAACACAAGGAAATAATGGTGGTTTCCCAAAAACAGTCACTTGAGTACTTCCCTATGTTCTCTGTAACTGGAATATCATGTGATCAGTGACAAAAAGGAATTAAAACTTTAGTTTCTGAAGTAGCTCTATATGTACTCAGATTTTTTTGTCTGCAAAATAAGGTTAAATACGGTATGGAAATGTGCATATCCTGGGTCCTGTCCCTTTTGCTCATATTTCAAGTTGGGCAAAGATAAAATTGTCTCATTCCAGTGTGCAGTCCAGACCACTGAAGGGTTGTCATTACCTGCCCTGCAACCTGGGCTCCCTCACCGTACTTTGTGTAACTCCCACCCTGGGCCACTCAACAGCAAACGGCAGGCAGGTCATATCCTGAGTGTCTATGTATAGCTGCAGTCCTGATCCAGCAACTCTGACCCTTGCAGCCATAGTTACTACCTTCAGGGTGACCTCAACACACTCCCAATTACAAATTTTCCCTAGTGTGTGTGTTCTGCATGGGCCTACCCTCTCCTGGACAGTTCAGATATTATAGGTCCCTTTGCCCTGTAAGAGGTCAATATCCAACAACCTCCCAAACAGCTCAGTTTAAATACAGCACTGGATTAATTTTAACTATTAAAATTTTTGTATACAAATATTTTAAAATGAGTGCAAGGTATTAAAATCCAAAATGGTTACAAGAGAAATAAAGATGAAAATTTTCTAAGACCTAAAACTTAGTTCAAGATAAAATCATTTTCACAGCAACATTGCTAACCAAATTTTCATGTCAGGATCCCTCCGAAAGTCAAAAGGCGGGTTTCTTTGTCTTAAGTAAAAAAGATAACCTAGGGTGTTTTTGCCTCTTTATAGTTTTTGCACCTCACCTTTATTGGTTCCTGGTCAATGGAAGTGCAGAGCCAGTGCTTGAGGCAGGGGTAGGGTATGGAGCCCCATGGCCCCGCCCCACGTAGGAGCCAGACCTGCTTCTGCCCTATTCCAGGGCGCAGTGTGGTGTCAGAACAAATAAGGACTAGCCTGCCTTAGCCGGGCAACATCCCTGATGGGACTTTTAATGGCCTGGTTGGCAGTGCTGACTAGAGCCACCACCACCCAGTACCTTACACTCCACGACCTAGTACTGAGTCGTGATCCGCAGTCTGAAAACCACTAGGCTAGAGGCATCAGCTTGTCCTTTGTTCTGGAGAAACTAGTTTACCCCCGTTGCTGTCCCCCGGACCCTGTTTATTGCTTATATGTAAACTGAGATAAACACACATTTCTGTGGTTAGGCTAGACCTGTTTAACAACTTCTGCCTAGTTGGGCTTCATGGGTTTGAACATGTGCTAACAGCATCCTAGGGGGCAATTCATAACTTTACATGTAATGTTACTACGTACACTTCAGCATGATAGTATTGACCAGTGAGTTGTTTTTTAAAATGATACCTCACAAGGCATATTTTGTACAAAGATTATTATAATACTGTGTAGGGTGTGAATACAGGGATGCATTTGTTCACAAAAATATCTTGCACAAAATCTTGAATGAAATTCTTAATTTTAGACAAGGCAAGACACACAGACAAAACCATAGAACTTATTTTGCTGATCGCAACAGTAGGGCAGTGGAGAAAAATAGTAAATGTCTATTATGACCCAGAGACTGGAAATGTCCTTGAATGCAGCCACAACTAGCCTTCACACTAAACAATCTTTTTCCTTTAGAAGTGAAGTGTGGCTGATGCTTTGATGTCAGTCTCGTGGAGTATTCTCCAGGCACTGTGTTTCAGCACAAAGGATGTTTGTTTGTTTGCTGCTAATCTGTAGGGGAGTCAAAGGCAAAAACATGAGTTGAGAGCAGGAAAATGGATATAATTTTGTTTCTTTAATCCTGCTAGAGCAGCAGAGCTTTGGTGAAGAAGTAGTCAAAGATCAAAAGACGTAATGTAATATCATTTGGAGGACTATTTTCTTATTACTAAGGTACTGAGAAAGAGAGTACATAGCTATTCTCTTTGCACTACACAGTGCTGTTTTCTCTTTACAACAGCAGCATTGTATAATGTAACAAGACTTAATTAGGGACAAAACTCAGGTGGTATAAATCAATGTCGTTCTGTCGGCTTCAACTGAGGAGTTGATTCTTAGTTTTAGTCTAAGCATCCACATTGTTTTGTTTTTTAAAGCAAGGGATGAAACAGTGCAGATTAATTGATAGAATCAACTGATGTTTCATGCTCCCTGTTTGCCACCAAAAAATAAAAGGAAGCAAAACCTTGCCTAAAAAAACCCCACACGTTGCTTTAAGAAAGGAATAGTAAGTTGATGCTCTCAATAGTAGCATTCAGATATAGCATTCAGGTTTTATTTTGTGATAAGTGCTTCAGAAATAACAAAGACCCTCATCCCGTAAACACTTAACACATCTGTAACTTTGTTCTTATAAATTGACCCAACTGACTTCACTGGAACTACTCATGAGTATAGTTACACACATGCTTAAGTGTTTGTAGGTTCAGGGCTGTAAATAATACCTGAAATATTTCTATTTTTGCTATTAGGATTAACATATGGTAACTGTCATGTAATCCATCTGGAGCACAAACCTACAGACGCTATGAACGGTAACTGTCATGTAATCCAACTGGAGCACAAACTTGCAGATACTGTGAACGATCAGTTTTTCACAGTGTCTATAGGCGTGTGCTTTTTGGCATGGGAAAATGTTCTCTCTCATTCCTATTCTGCTAAAACAAATATACCTCCTTAAACTTCACACCCAGTGGGCAGACACACTGAAGTCAATGGACCTACCTCATGTATGTAAAGTTAAGCACTTATAGGAACCCAGCATGTACCCTACTGAACTGAAACTGAGGTCCATCTAGTCTAGAATCCTGTCTCAGACATTAACCAACACCAGATGCTCCAAGGAAGATGTTAGAACTCCTCACTAGGTAGATATGGGATAATCTGCCCCTCACATTAAAGCTCATCGTGATCTGTAAGAGTTAGATTGGTTTTAGCTCTGAATCATGATATTTAATACCCTTTCAAAAACCTTTAGCATTTCTTGTTAGAATTCTGGATATTCTTGATATCTATATAGAAGTCCAGTCCCCTTTTTTATTCTTGCTAAATTTCTTGGCTTCAATATGCTGTGGCAATGAGTTCCGTAGTCTAACTGTGTGTTGTGTTGGTTTTTTTTAAATCAGCTTTGAATTTGCCACTTTTTAATAAGGTATGTAAGTCTTTGCAGGATTGGGACTGTGGATGGCTGACCTAGAGCTGCACAAAGGAAGCGAATTGAATCACACAGCAAAAAGAAACCTTACTGTGCTACAAACCCCTGGAACTATGCTAACTATTCTGGACTGCCATCTAACTATTTTTACATATATACAGACAGCTCCATTAAAAGAGTCTTCTGTGTTAAATGTATTCCCACTATGGGTTATAGGGCCCAATCCTGTTCCCATTGAAGAATGAGTCGTGCCATTGACTTCAGGGACAGGATAGACACATGGGTAAGAATAATTAAAAAGAGAAATACTCAGGGCTTGTCTACACTTACAGGGGGATCGACACATGAAGACCTGCTAAATCGACCACAGATCACTCTCCCATCGACTTCTGTACTCCATCTGAACAAGAAGCACAAGGAGAGTCGATAGGAGAGCATCTCCCATCGACAGAGTGTAGTGTGGACCTCGCGGTAAGTAGATCTAAGTACGTCAACTTCAGCTACGTTATTCACGTAGCAGAAGTTGCGTAACTTAGATCGATATCCCCCCCCATAGTGAAGACCAGCCTCAGAATGTCTGGAGACCTTTCAACACTATATAAGTTTGAAAACATCGAGTATTTTTTGTCAGATTACAAAACTTGTGAATGTAACCCCATTATCCAAGGTGAACAAAAGGAAAGGGGACAAAAAATGACTGAATGGACAAGAAAAATAGTCTGAAACATCACATTTATTTGATGTTGTTTGTTTTTAAACGTTCTCTTCCTTTTTCTTACATTCCAGTCATCTTAGATTATGAAAATAAACTAGGGTGGGTTTCACTTTTTCCAGCATGTTTCTAGACTTTTTCACTCTGACAATCTCATACACCACAAAAATGCTATTGTGCTGGTCTAGCACACATTGATGGGAAAGGTCTAAAGCCTAACCCAAAATGTAATCCTTGAATTACTGTTACAGTTCATGAAGATGTTTCTATTAATACCAAATCTTATAAAACTTTTTTTAATATAAAAGAAAACCTTTATTTTAGGCTTTAACTAGCTGTGTGTGTCATCTAAATCCCTTTCAAAGTGGTGGGAGGGTTGTTTTGGTTGCATTTAAATCATGATTATATTGAAGTCAAATCTGTTGTTTAAAAATTTCTTTTTAGAGTGAAACAATTAGACTATCCCTCTTGTGAGAGAGTTCCCTGCCAGGGCCCAGTCTAGCTTGCTTTATTCAAATGATGAGGGGGACAGGGTTTGACCCTCTGTGTTTGTATTTCTTTGTTTTCATTGACATTCTTTCTGGTCTTCAAGTTGTCCATTTGTACCCATGTAATTTATGTTCTTATTTCCTGCACTATATCATGTAACCACCATTAGTGGATTGGCTAGCTTGTGGTTTCTGGCTTTTCACCCATTTTAGGTCATTTTTGAAGTGCATGATCTATTTGCATTGGTTAGGAAATGACCCATTTTAAAAGGGGGGGTTCAGAGAGGGATTTTGCCCGGTATGAGAGTCATATAATTTCCTGTAGTAAGTGACTCGGCATTGGAAATTGGAAAGGCATATTTTAAGAGAACCACTGTAAGTACTGTAGACAACTTTTGCTCTCCTCTGCATTTCAACCCTCTAATGATTCTGTGTTGACAACTCACTTTGGGGAATTCCTGTGTTTGACTGGACATGCTTTTGTTTTTTTCTGGACATGGGAGGTGCCTTCAGTTGTAAGTCAAGATATAGTGAGTATTGGACGAATTCCATACCCCTTATACGTACTGCTATTTTGATACTGTCTCCTTTTAAATGTGGTGTGATATCTATGTTAGCCTGTGGGGTCTGAATGTGGTAGGGATGGACCAAATCCTCCACAGGTGTAAATCAGCATACAGTAGTTTCATTGAAATTCAATTCCACCCATTTACACCCATGGAGGATTTGATATGGAGTGTGTGTGTGTGTATTGCTGTACATAGTACTCCACATTCTGATTGAAAGGCTATGGTTCTTGCAAATGTAGCTGTGTTAATTTTCTATTAAATAGTGTGCTTTACTTCTTCAAAGTACTGTACAAACAAAAAAGTGTTGCCTGCAACATTTTTGTTGGCTTTTTTGTAGTTGCCATTTTCATGTTAAGAAATTAGTTGGCTGGATGATTTCTAAATTTTAGCTGGTCCTTTCCTAAAGATTACCCTGAGAGAATCCCTGCATATTTTAATGACTAGGAATAATGAATTGACACTTACAAACATGTACAGAACTTTTCTTCTTGAGACTGAAAAGCATCTTACAAATGTGGTAAGTATCGTCATGCCCATTTTCAGACGGGGAAACTGAAGCACGGATTGGTTAAGAGACCCTGCCCAAGATCAAACAGCTAGAGGTTGCAGAGCTGGGAATACAACCACCATCTCATTGATTCCCAGTGCAGTGCCCTAGCCTCTGGACCATGCTAAAGTGCAGTGTCTCTATGTTCACAAAGAACAAGGAAGTTCCACTGTGGCATGTTGGATGCTCATTGTTCAGGATGAGATGTGTTCCTTCCTACACAAGCCCTGAGAAAGTGGGTTTTGGGTGGTGATTGGGGATGAAATACATCTCCCATCATGTGGTCAGGCCTCAGAGGAGCAGTTCATGGGCTGGAAGAATGGCTACTACCATTCTGCACGCTTATGTGCCGATTTCTTGGTTTCTAGATCTGCTTTCCCTGTAGCTCATCTTGGCAGCCACAAGCAGCTGGAATGCCATTAGTGTCTATCCCTAGAGCAACACCCTGCCCCACAGCCATTTCAGCTCAAGAGCTGGCCTTTGGGCCTGTTCCCACTTGTAGTTTGCCATAACCTGAGTTTGGTCCCTAAAATAATGTGCAAAGGATCCATGTTCACTCAGGCTGTCTAATCCAGCAGGGACTCCTGAGGGGTTGGCTGATTGTAGGGGAGAGAGATCTAGTTATATTTTCTGGTCAATAGGGATTGACCGTTTTGGTATGTTCCTTTTGAATTCTTGAAGAGATTCGTGTTTGATATGCATTTTCTGAATGAGTATAGAATAAGGCCCGGGGGCCACATCCGGCCCTTCAGATGTTTTAATCCAGCCCTCGAGCTCCTGCCAGGGAGCAATGTCGACGGCTTGCCCTGCTCCGCGCAGCTTCCGCAAGCAGCAGCATGTCCCCTGTCCAGCTCCTACACGTAGGGGCAGCCAGGGGACTCCGCACGCTGCCCCTGCCCCAAGCACCGCCCCTGCAGCTCCCACTGGCCAGGAACCACGGCCAATGGGAGTTGCAGGGGCGGCGCCTGCGGATGGGGCCGGGGGGACATGCCACTGCTTCCGGGAGCTGCTTGAGGTAAGTGCCACCCAGAGCCTGCATCCCTGACCCTCCCAACCCCCTGCCCCAGCCCTGATCCCCGTCCTGCCTTCCAAACATCTTGGTTCCAGCCCAGAGCACCTTCCTGCATCCCCAACCCCTCATACCCAGGCCCACTCCAGAGCCCACACTCCCAGCTGGAGCCCTCACCCCCTCCTGCACTCCAATCCCTAATTTCGTGAGCATTAATGGCCCGCCATACAATTTCCGTACCCAGATGTGGCCCTTGGGCCAAAAAGTTTGCCCACCCCTGGAGTAAGGGTACCAGAAAGTGTAACCATCCAGAGACAAAAGTGAAACCGCCCAGTTTGTGCATTGTCTGCACCAAAGCGAAGTGCAAACAGATGACAATGAAGAGTTAATTACATGTTTGAAAAGTAAGATGTTCAGTGACACAGGTAAGAGCATTTGCCTTTATAAAATATAGTGACTGCACAACCATCCTCTTAGTTCACGTGAGGCTCTAGCCAACAGTCAAGAAAAATTTTTCTGCAAGCTTTAGGTTAAAGTGGTTACTTCAGGTGAGCATTTCCTACTGGAAAGTGAACTCTTGCATGATCATGCAAGGCACTGTGCATACCTCGTGGGAGGTGATCAGCACTTTCAGTGCAAACTGATCTCCTCCCAAGAGGTGCTCAGTAACTTGCAAGATGGGTATTTTTACTGTACGGGTTCCAATCCTGCTCTCATTGAAGTTCCCTGGCTAAACTCTTGCTGACTTCACTGGGAGGTAGCAGGTTTGGGCCTCATGATTTTTAACCAGACTGTGTCCATTTTAAATGCACAATGGCTAAGGCAGTGGTTCTCAAACTTTTTTTGGGGGGGACCACTTGAAAATTGCTGAGGATCTCGGCGAACCACTTAGTGATCTTTCCAAATGTTGTTTGTACCGTTAGCTAACTGTTGTAAAGTGCTTTGGATAAAAATGCTATATATATAAAAAAACCCTTAGTAATAAACATTTTTTGTTCTACAAATAAAAGCACACAACTCATATTTTAATATCAGTAGTCTTACCTTTCTAATGTGATGGATGTGCCCTCTCTCCCCTGCCACGGCAGCCCCTGAGCTGGGGCTGGGAAGGAGGGGGGGGTCTCCCCTGCCGTGGCAGCCTCTGGGCTGGGAAGGAGGGTGGTCTCTCCCTCTCTCCCCTGCCGCGGCAGCTGCTGGACTGGGAAGGAGGGTGGTCTCTCACTCTCTCCCCCACCGTGGCAGCCCCCGAGCTGGGGCTGGGAAGGAGGGCCATCTCTTCCCAGTAGCCGCAGCCCTGGACCTGGGGAAAGTCACTGTTTTCTCTGGCCACCGCAGCCCTGTATGTCCCAAATCCACCCCCCTTCTCACCCCACTGCCCGCTCCCAGCTTCCCCTTATTCCCCCCAAGGCCACCACCTCACCTTACATGTGCATCTTGTTCAGGGTCCAGGTACCCAATTAGTGGAGCTACACCTACGCGGCTCCACTAATTAGGTAGGTTGCCCTTCATTCTTTTGTGTGCAGCCGTCCAGGCACACACCTTAGAGGGAACTATCCACGGACCAACTGTGAATGGACCTCACAGTTGGTCTGCAGTTTGAGAACCTCTGGGCTAAGGAATTCATGTACTGATTTAATCCTTAGCTCACCCCAATATCTGTAGGCATTACAAATCATGTACCACTCTGGGCATCTAACAACAGTACTGTGTGCACCTATGTAAGCTGCAATACCTAACTGTTGCAGACTTGGGTGACTTACGGGTGAGTCCAACTGCAATTCTGCCTCCCTAGCCTTTTTGTGGGTCTAAGCCACACCCTTAATGTTATTTTAACATATCACAGCTTCTGGTGTAGAAGTATGATACCCTCGGGCAACCATTCTGCAGATCAGGGGTGAAATCCTGGCCACACTGAAGTCAATGGCAAAACTCCCACTGATGTCAATGGGGAGAGGGTTTCACCCCAGATTTCCTACTGAAGTCAGTGTAATTGTTGCATGTGGAAGGACTGCAAGATAAGTGCATGTCCTAATTCTGTAACCCTTATTTGCTTATGCCCAGCCATTCCTTCTGCAGTCTCCTATCACAAATAGAAATTCTAACGTGAGTAAGTGCTACTCAGTGTAAAAGGTAAATTATCCGGCTCTTGGCTAGGAAGCATAAGAGACTACATCAGTCCACAAATGTGCCCCTAAATCATTCTCTTTTATATTTCAATTGAATGTAGACCATTTTTCTGATGTTTTCACCCTGATTTTTAAAAAAATCAAAAATGTTTCCTGCAAAATCCTTTTAAAATATCAGCATAAAACAGCCTAAAGTCAAACAAAAGTATGGAAATTTCACAGGCTTCATATTTATAGTCCCCTAAATCTCACATACCGTGTGGTGCTCCCCATAAAATACTATCTGCCTAGCTAATAATATATGTATTTATCAATGTTTCCAGTAGGCTTTATGGAAGGAAAAGGTTAATCATGTGAATAAATAGGTCAAAAGATTACGTGAAACAAGAAACCCAACACCAATTATTCTACCATCTGTGCTAAATTTGATCCAGTGTTATATATGGTTTCCAGTAATCATCCATCTCCCATTGTTGCCATGTGCATTGGTGGGACACTTTGAACTCCCAGAAATTGGCACTGAAGAGCTGGACAGGTTTTGTCTTGGTAACAGGAACTGTCCTTTAGAAGTGCATGAAGTAGCTCTGACTTGGCAACTGGGCGGGAGTTACTCAGCTGTCAATCAGTGCAATGGAATTGTAACTGAAAATCCACTCGAGCAACTTCTGAGAAAGACACAAACTTCCCAATGATTGTAGCACAAATACAGCAACTGCCTTGGGGCTGTTGTAACATGTGCCGGTTGGAACGGCACGCCAGTATTCATTCAGCCGGCCCAGGATTGCTGGCACATCCAGCCATGCCCTCCCCACTCCTGGCACACCCCCAGGATCCCCACAACATTGGTGGCTGGGGGAGGCAGGAGCAAGTGGTGTACAGCTGGCATGTCAGCTTTGTGCAAGGGATCCCTCTATGCAAGGGGAATCCCCAGACAGCTGTTTAAGCCAGGTTTCCAGAGTCAGGGCCAGGGTCTGGCCCTGTGCCTGGACATTGAGGGTATTACCCTGAGATGGGAGGTTCTCTGCTTTCCTTGAGGAACCCTAAGTATTCCCTGGTCCCACTCACAAGGGTCCCTATCTTGGTAACCATCCATGCAGCTGAGGAGGACTTTGGGCTCTCTCAGAGATGTTACTTTAGACTGCAGTGGCCACGCTCAGCCCTGGTGTAAGTGGGCTTCATTGAGTTATGTCCATTAATGCCAACACTGAATATGGCTGAGGGGGCAGATGTTCCCTCTGCAGCATTCATAGCTGTGGGGGAGAGACTGGGAACAGAATGT